GCCTGTCGGAAATATTCTTCGCGCATGTTCCTTCATTGGCATCTTGGAGAAGGAGATGTGAAGCAGTAAACAAATGCGTGACAAAGAGACGTATTTTTGTGTTTTTCACTTTTTTTGAATCAAAAGTATACTGTATGAATATTGCAAAAAGTATTGAAGAGAAATTCCGAGTTCCAAAAGTTGCAGTTACCGTGTGCGTGATCATGGGGTGTAAGTAGGGGAGCAGTCACTGATAGCCACGCACCGCTGTGACAGTTGGGAACGGATTCGGAACAGGGGCAAGCCTTAAAAGTATCGGAAACATATAAAACGTATATTCACGTCGCTTCGCGACGGTAACCGCCCGCACCGCATGGGAGGGCTCAAAGACTGCAGTCACGCTCCAGGAACGGGTCAAGGTAGGTACTTCCATTGAACATAGCCCCAGAAGTCACCCCCCCCCCAACGTGGCCGAACATAGCTTCCATATTGCCTAACATAGCGCTAGAATGTGGGAACGTCGCAAATCGGTGTATCTTTTCCGCAGGTAGCTCGAGACGTTCGCCGGATATTTGGCTCCACAGGAGCAGAGATAAGGAAAGTGTAATTGGACTGAGGCCGGACATTTGTAACGTGGCTCAACATAGCTTCCATATTGCCTAACATAGCCCTAGAAGTCACTATCTAACGGACGTGTCTGCGAGATAGGGACTTGAACGCAAAACATGGCCCAACGAGGGCTCAAAAGGGACTGGAATAAAGTAAGGAGATTGCCTAACATAGCCCTAGAAGTCACTATCTAAAGGACGTGTCTGCGAGATCGGGACTTGAACGTCGTAAACATAGCCCAACGAGGGCTCAAAAGGGACTGGAATAAAGCCCCCCCCCCCAACGTGACCGAACAGACGTGTCCGCGAGATAGGGACTTGAATGTCCAGTCCCTTTACCGCGCAGATGATTCAAACACGTCCTTTAGATAGTGACTTCTAGGGCTATGTTAGGCAATCTTTTTACGTTATTCCAGTCCCTTTTGAGCCCTCGTTGGGCCATGTTTTGCGTTCAAGTCCCTATCTCGCAAACACGTCCGTTAGATAGTGACTTCTAGGGCTATGTTAGGCAATATGGAAGCTATGTTGAGCCACGTTAGGGGAGCCTGTTCAGCCAAATGTCCGGCCTCAGTCCAATTACACTTTACCGCGCAGATGATTCAAATCATGCAAAGGAAGAAAATTGCATTTCTTGCATCACCAGGGGCTTCAAAATAGCACGAATTCATCTTCCAGCATTTTAAGCCGGTTCCAAGAACGTGAAAAACACAGGAATCTAGAGCGAAAATGCACCCCCCCCCCAGCTAAAGTTATTGGCTTGCCCAGGCTAGCTTACGTATACCGCGTGCCTTATAAAAACGCCTCGGCACCTTCGGCGCGGGCGGATTCAGCGTATTCAGTACCATGGTGGTGAGCGACGTTGCCATTCTGTGCAATGTGGTGCGATCTGCGCAATGTGCAGAAGGTGTATCGACAAGCGGAAACAAGAAAGTCTTGAAAAGTGTCAATCAGCTACAGATTTCCAGCACAAAGTCACATCAGAGATTTCTGGAGTCAAGTCTCCAAAAGAAAGGGCAAAAGAACGACATCGACAAGGAAAGATGTCAACTATCCAAAAGAGGCCAAACACAAGCAAAAAGCAAAGGCCTCTAAAGACAAGTATGGGAAAGTAGGTTTCTAGTGCCAAGCGCAAATGCTTTTCTACCGATCCCAATGGTGAAGTGGTGAAGCGGTACGTTTTTCAGGTGGTGAAACGGTTAGTTTCTACAGCAGAAAGGCTCTGCGGGCCACCTGCAGAAAAGTTTCTTGTTCAAAGCCCAGCCTCCGGTGACAGCTCACTTTGACCCGAGCACCGAGTGTGGGGGGCAACCGTCTCTCCGACTCCTTGACAACGTGATCAAACAAAAGACACATGATAATTCACATACCCTAGAAACCATTAGGCAGAGAATTATTTAGATGGCGTAGGGCCGTCTACGAAAGAGAACTGGCATCTCTTTTTACAATTCCGCACTGCAAACTCACTGAGAGTTCTTAATACCGATGTTCAAAAACCCAAAACTTTTTCGCAGATGGTAGCCGGGTACAAACCTCATCAACCGACCCCTAGTGCAAAACCGTATAATGGCTCCGCGTCTACACTGTTCCAAATTCCGCGGTCTCTGCAGGTTCACAGTGCCTGTCAGCCCAAGTGTGGGAAGAAGGACCTCTCTAGGCACACGTGAGCTCTTATTCATAGACAGTCTTTGTTTAGAGGTCGAGATCAGGAAGTTAGAGCCTTGGATAGCCAAATTAATGAGACGCTAGAACTGAAAAGAAGGTGTACGTTGTAAATCAATCTCAGCTTATTCACAAGACGTGTTTACGGAGAGTTGTCAGCCTATTCAAAATGTAATAGACCTGCTTACATCAAGATGCGGAATATCCAAGGAAGGTTGGCTTCGCTCACTCAACGGGCAAAAAACCATTGCTTCTTAGGACGAAAGACACGGGGTCAACACTACCGTATCTTGCTCATATGGGGGATGACATTGGATTTAATTCTTCGGGTTCTCCATGGGTGAGCACAGTACCCAAACAAACCAAGCTAGGGAAGCAACCGACCAAATTACCATGGAGCTGTACAAGTTGGCTAGACATCGAACAGAGCTCCCGTTAAGCGTTTTCAATGAGTCGTGGGAGCAGGGCCATGTGCTTCCAGAAGCCCTGATTGTATGTGTAGCTCCAATATTTTAAACAGGTGATACAGACTACCTACTTCAACATATGTTTATGGCCCTCATTGACTGGGAAAACGCCTTTGACGAAGTGCAACCGTCCAAGTTGTCCGATTCACTTCCTAGGTTGGGAGTTTTAGGTTGGAGGCCATCGCTGTTAGGTTGGAGGCCATCATTTGTAGGTTGGAGGCCATCGCCATCGCCAATAGAAACAAAGAAAAAGAAAAGTACGAATGGTCTAAAACAATTTGCTGATTAGGTTGGAGGCCATCTCTGCCATCAAGGCTTTACTCTCCGATTGTTGTCCAAATTAATACAGCACGTCGGCCGTCAAAACCCAAAGCGGAATTCGTCAAGGCTGTCTTCTCAGCCCGCTCAGCCCTTTCCTGGGCAGGTTACTTAGTCCTGGGTTCCTGGTGCAGTGTACTATGCAGACGACGCAAGGTTTTTTCCACCAGTGCTCGAGGTCTGAGCTCGGAACACTATGGCTTGAAAATCAATCGCACGAAACGCCGCTCACTCGAATCGAAATGCAGATATTCACGTGACTTCACTGTTCTTTCCGGAGCGCACAACACGTGAAAGAAGTGCTTGCCTAGCCTTCCCATCCATGGGACAGAAAATCGGCTCGTTTTCTGGGAGGGGATTCTTCCAGAAGAGTAAGGCGTGCTCCATGAGTACATCTACTTGTTCGTTCGATCCTTTCAAACAAAGAATCAACCTCCTGCACGTCCGCAGAAGATCACATGATCCACTATACATAATAATTAACATAATTATGAACGAAGTCCCGTCAGCCCTGTCACCCCTATACAGAACCTGGTGTCCTACTGGTCAAGGTCCTAAATGAATAATTTCTAGCATTTGTGCGCAGATGCCACGTATATCTTCGCAAAGAGCACTTGGTTTGCCCGTTGGAAAGAGTCGGAAACCAAGCAGCAAGTTACACATCTATGATGCTGCAATCAGTCTTCTTTGCGGTCTCAGTCTCGTAAAGAGGGCTTCCACCTTGGAATATGAAAGATGCCGACGGCTTGCGTAGATCGGAACATCGCCAGAGTTTACGAAGTCGCTTCTGAACTTTCGTACTGCGTACCCAACCCAACCACGTCGTAGAACCAAACATTTTACTGACGGTTTTGACGGGAATCGAATCCAGTCGGGACGTTGCTGCGCCCAATGATGTCCCACTAAGACAAATCTCTTACCATCTCTTACCTACCAGGGCTGAACCCATCACTATTGGCGCCCAAGTTGAACGCCCGAGAGCTGTTTCGGTTGAATAAAGCCATTCAAAGTCCCATCAGTCACGATGAATATCACTGCGATCATTTCAGAATGCAAATGTTTTTTGGGCAGCGCAAAACCGTATGGTTTACGGCCCAAAGCGTCTCTCCTCCTGGTATCTCTGGCAAGGGACGCATGGCAGCAGAAAGATAACCACCTTTTGGAAACTTCTTAAAGAAGCCTTTGCTCGTCGAGGTTTTCTTTTTGATGTTGTTTTGGGCGCTAGAATCTCTTGGTTTTCGCCAGGAAAGGTCACATTTTGTCGCAACCCGTAGCTTTCTGTTCACCATGGCGTATCATTTTCTAGGGAGAGTCGGAAAGAGTTTCTAGACGAATGACACCAGCAACCCCAGCTACAAGGGTAGTCAAAGAAGGAGTCAGGTGTTCGACCAAGTGTTTCAACGGTTAGGTTCTTGCCGAGACAGGTTCTGCCACTGTTTCCAAAGCTAATAATATTATGCGTGCACACGCGCACGCGCGAACAGACCTGTGTTGCCAATTGCAAACCAAAGCCATCAATCTGACAGCACCTGCCGACGCCCCGCCTCCAAAGTGCACTTAGTTCTAGAAATGTCCGAGACTCAAACTTTGAGGTATGAGAGCTACGGCTTTGGCGCCGAAGACTTCGCTGAAGCTTTTGAAACCCTAGAGACCATCATCACCACCTACGACTCGGCATAAAGCACGACCTGCGCGATCTGGTGGAGCGCCAAAGAAACTGCTTGAAGAGATGCAGGAAGAAAAGGACACGTTGCTTGTTTTTGCCGCCAAATCAACAGGTTTTGAGTCATTCGGCCTCAGGTTCTTCCAATTTGGAAGTACATTACCTTGCTGTTTGCTTCCTAAGACTTCGCGGAAAGCAGATTGGTTCGATAGGTTCTCGAGTCGTTGACACGGACACAGGTCGCTGATCCTAGCTAAGAAAAGGTTTGTTCGCAGTTTATATTTGGGGCGTCATGTGTTGGCTAAGGGACTGACGCCAAGTGCAAGGACGCCGACGACGCGGAGCTGCTGCCTTTCGAATTCGGCTGCGAGGAGGCAAGAGTTGATAAGTTGACCAGACGAAGCCCGCTTTTTGGCGTTTTTTGTTTGTTTCAGAGGCTGAAGAGGTCTTTGCTGATGGACAATGAAGCTCGGTTCATTTCAGCCAAAGGGTAGGGAAGGCGCGAACCGGATTTCTCGATTCGATCGGTAAGGCTTAAGGTGGAGCCCATGTCCCTTTGTGCTCTTGCGGAAAAAGACTCACATCATCCTCAGCACGAGCTTCCGGACAGCGTACGTACTGGCCCTGGGTAAGTGTTTTCCCCAATAGCGGTCATTAGTAGGGCCAGTACAGGTTAAGCTCCTGGTTTCATCGAAGGTCGGCGCAAAATTGAAGTTTTGCAGCTGTTGTTTGTGTTCTCTCGCGCGTGTCCTCTCATATGCGCGCTCTCCTTTGCTTGTGCTCTCATATGTGTGCTCTCAATCTATTGGCTCACATATGGGTGCTCTCCTGCGCGTGTGTGTACGTGTATGTGTGTGTGACTGTGTGTGTGTGTCCAACTCTGTTTCCAAGAGCAGTTTAATCATGTCAGCAGGGGGGCGCAAGCAGCCCATCCAGTCTTGCACCAACGAAGACACTGGACACGCGCTGGCGAAATCGGTTTGTGACGACAAATCGACGCACCTGCAGCTGTGCGTGATGCTGAACTCTGCGTAAAGCCAAAGCTGTCTCCTTCTTTGTTTTGCAGCAAACGTCTAGTGCAGTCAAGGGCTAGTGTATCGGCGGGCCACCTTTTTCATTTCGGCCAAATACCTAAGTGTGTGGGGTGTGTGTGTGTGTGTGCGCTCTCTCCCTCTCTCTCTCATAGGTGGGCACCCTCAGTCATGTGTGCGTACACCTTGGAGATGTTTTTTTCAGCGGGCGCAGAGCACAGTGGAGACCGTGCCCAACTTAGCTATCCGCTTGCGCTGGAAGCAGAGTGATCAGCCCTGTGTACCTGCTACGTTTTGGCGTGACGCTACCTCCGGGGCCCCGTTTGTATTTAGAGCGAGGCTTTGTCCATTGCATCGGTGCTGCAAAGGGCTCATGAGTTATGCAGACATGCACTCGGCGTTCGAGTCTTTTGGTGATCTTGATGTTTCGATACTTGGAACTTGGACGCTTTGTCTTTTGGAACTTCATGTTCGTGGAGGTTTTCGATGGTTGCACCCCTTTGCCGTGCTAAGGCGCTTTCAAGACTGAGGTTTCTTCAGGGCTTGCAACGATCAGATCGTACGAACTGATCGTGTGCGTCCGTTTTTGCTCACATGTGTGCGTGTGTGTGCGTGTGCCCCACCCTGTATCTAAGGGGCCCTTGAATTTACCAGGGTCAAGGCGCGATATTACCAACCTCGACCAATGAAGCTGGGTGATATCGCGGGATGTGGGTACCTGCGTTGTTTTGTATGCACGGCGTTCACCTTACCGTTCCAGCATTCCTTTCCTCGGGGATTATCTCACTGAATGAACCTTGTCGAAGCGTGCTCTCCTGTGTACGCACGTGCCCCCCCAGTGTAAGCCAAAGCCGGGGAGTTTGTTTATTCACCCCTGTCTTGCTTCACGCACGCAACATTGAAGATCGTTACTTATGAAACATGTTTATGTGTTTTTTGCATTTTGTCATCATGCCCCTTAGATTTAACAGATTCAATTAACGCCCAGAAAAGCATGGCCTCTTGTGGCCTTGTGGAGGCTTGCGCTGCGCCCGGCGCGTGCCTCCCTAGCCTAGGCGCAGCCCCGGTCTATGCTGCCACCGCCTTAGCGCCAAAGGTGCCGAAGACATTGAGGAGCCAAGTGGCCGGCGCCATCAAAGAGCATCCTGGCGCATATCAGGGAAAATTCTGGAGGCTCAATGAAGATGAACCTAGATGAGAATGTCAAAAGACGGACATGCCTTGCTGGGATCTGCGAAGAGCACATCAGTTGCTGAACCACAACACTCGACAAACGCAAAACGCAAATCTGAATAGCCGGCCAAAGGTTTACTAAGCGCATTGGCCTCTTTGTCTACCATACGCCAACAGAATTGGGGAGGCCAGTTTGTGGTTTGAACACGATGGGCTTGATCAAAGGCAATCTGGTCCGCGTGTGACAAGCTGCTTTTGTGCACAGTATGGCAGATGGTTGATCCGGAGCTGCCATGAACTCATGACTGACTACGCATAGGAAAATGGGATGGGGTGAGTACTTTGAGAATGCAGACCGGCAAAACGTTGAGTTTCCTGCGCTGCTACCCACACTTGGAAACTGATTTAAAATCCAACGCTTTAATTCTTCAATCGTACAGTTGCGTTGACGCCAGCTGTGTGAGACAAGGTACGACATGATCCGTGAGGGCGACCGACTACTGGTGGGCCTCTCTGGTGGGAAGGAGGGGCCATGAATTCTTTTTGGCGACAAGGTGAACAGATGCGACTAACTAAAACATGCAGGAACTTTGGAACCAAACAACAAGACGCTCAAAAACCTTCACGTCAACATGCCACCCCATTCTGCATCCGCGCCATGGCTGTGATCATTGCCTGCCCATGGTCCAGCACACGCCTTCCTGACACGGACTCGCGCTTTTTCATGGGCGTAGCCCTGCAGCACATACACGCTATAAAGTAGCATGCAATATTGGGGTATACCTCCGTGTAACATGTTGCATGTAGCATGGCAACGGGCTGCGGGTTGTAGCGCAGACCTTTTGCACACATTTTTATACGCACACAGGATTGAGTACTGCGTCCCAGAACAATATAGCTTACTAGTATGACTGCTCGTCTATTCCCCGCGTGTCAGGTGAGGGTTGTTCCGTTTTGCGCCCCATCCCGCCTCCGCCTCGTCCGCCACCTCCGCCTCGTCCGCCTCCTCCTCGAATCATCCGCCTCCTCCTCACCTCAAAGCGCAGGATGGCAGGGTTCCCCGCCGGAGGACCTCAACCACAAGTTGGGAGCGTTCCCCGCCAGACTTCAACTGCGAGGTCCACTTGGCAGTGTTCCCCGCCGGACCTCAACCGCGAGTTCTGGGGGCAAACCGCCAGCTCCGAGCGCACTGGGCGCTGCCGGACCCCAACCAACACACAATGACAAACACAACCGCAAGCACACAAACACAAACACACAACCACAAACACATCCACAGCACACAACCCGAGGACCCACAAGAAAAATCGAGAACCGCAAAACTCACGACTCACGACTCACGACCATAGCAACATGCTCCTCACCATGGGATGAAGACAAATGATTGACATGGCATGGTGGGGATAACTCCAAGTCAAGCGATTTACTTTTCCATGGTGAAACTGGTCTTTTGGTCCACCTTTTTCTCACACCATCTCTTTGAGATGGCAGTCTGATCCTGTCTTTTCCCCTGCCGATCCTCTGTTCCATCAATCATGCTCATCCGTCTTCTTGATCTCATCCTCCTTGATCTGTTCACCCTTCCCAGCAGCAATCTGCGCAGCCCATGTATACTCATACGGGATCTTCCTCACCAGCCCCCCCACTGGAATACCTACACTTGCTGCATACCCCAATCACATCCGACTCAATCTTGGCGTTGGTTTTCAATTAGGCTGATGGAAGCACCTCCTTCGTGCGCAAACTTTTAAGCATCCTCCTGTCTCTTGGTCAGCTTCTCATTGGCTGCCTTCATCTTCTCAGCCAATGCTGGCGTCTTCTCCCTCTCCTGCATCATCTTCTCACCCGGCTTCTGATCCTTGTCATCCTAGCCCTGCAGGGCCTTGATCTCCTTATCCAGGCCTTGCCTTTCCTACATGTGCGCCGTAAAAAGAAACTCCCTCCCGCATGTGGTACGGTCTATTCCTGTCTGTGAATCACTGCTTAGAGGTTCTGGGTGCTTGTGGGGTGTGAGTCTTAGTTGGGCCCCAAAACAGTTCGACTCATCTGGAAATGCATCATGCCTTTGAACCAAAGTCTACTTTTTGGATGGTCTCACAAGGTCAACTTTTGCTCTGGACTCAAGTCCAGAATGGTTAATTTTGTGGAGGGTCCCACAAAGTGATACTTGCTGAATACTTTTTGGGTAATGATCATCATCCAGCTTCGCTGCTCGGAGCTGCTGGAGCACATACATCGGTGTTCCCCTTTTTTTCTCTCTTGAGTTCCATGATCGTCGGACTCCCGGTTGTTGGAGGCCAAACCGCAGCGCAGGATGAAAACGGCAACACGTACTCAAGAACCTCACCCCACAAGGCAACACGCCAAGCTCCACAAGGCATCGTTTCCAGGCTGATGACTTGCTTGGAACAATGATGCGAGACCTGCAGATGCGACCCTGTCAATCTACAGCTGAGTCAGCTCAACTACCACCGCTCCACTCACCCTCGGTGCATTTTCCGATCCTCCTGCGCGTTTCACGCCCGGAAGAACCGAAGAGGCCATGGCGGCCCAAGGTGGTTGATGGGTCCTTATAGCGCCCTGTGGGTTGTTGAAATCCGGGCGTGGGTGGACTGGTTTGCTTTTCCGCTTCCAGGGGCTCGTTGCCGAAGTCTCCCGTCTGACTGTTGTATACATGCCTCTAAGCTGGATTCTCAGCTTGCTGCGTGGCGTGCTGTTGTTGAGAAAGCTTCCATTCCGCGGTTTCGCGCGGCTTGCATGCCTTGACTCAATCTGCCGAAAGATCTAAGGGGTCGCTTCCTTCCACAAAGCCTTTCGTGGCCAGCTCTGTGCCCAATTCGACTGACACCATTCCGCTTCGTCGTTGTAAGCGTTTGCATGGCGCTGCCACTCAGCAGCTTCGCTGTGGTCATTTCAGGTGATCTTACATTGGTGCGCTGCTTTGTCTTCTCGCCTTGTGCCGCGGTCAAGGCGATGCCATTGATCTCACCAACAGTGCCATTGCTGCCCTGTTGAATGAACTTGATAAGCAGTCCCAGGGGTCTTGGGTCCAGAAGTTTCGTTCTTGGCAACTTGATTCCATTGAGGCCACCAACGCCGTGTTGTGTCCGAGTGCTGCACCGTCGCCGGAACCATGAGAACTTGAACCATGGCCATGAACCGTGAGTTTCATTGGACAGATGCTATCTAAGAAGGGAAGCTTCATTAACATAAAGCCGCTACTTCATACACTAGTGAACTATTAGTTTGAATTTTCTCGGGCAGGCGGGTTGATTTCTACTGCACGAGACTTGAACCCAAAGTTAACGCTTTGTCCGCCTTGGTTCTCTTTGGTAATCGGTAACCAAAGAGGTGCCCCAAGCAGCGCGCTCAAAACACGCCTTGAAACCGAATTAAGTAAGATGTAGATTTTTTGAGGTTTTTGCGCGCTTCGATTCCAAACTCTATATAATTGCATCAAAAAGCTTCGTAATTCTTGAATCGGTTCTCTACTGGAGGCACTCGCAAAGGAATGCTCCACATCGATGAGGGGTTATTTACATTACACTCATATGCGAAATCCTCGAAGCACATTTCGACTGCGCACGCTCGCAAAGTCTGGTGGGCCGCCGCGGGCTGGCGTCGCGATTGCGCTCTCGTTGTGGCGTCGCGCGCATTTTCGGACATGGTGGTCACTTTTCGTGGCAGGCGTAAGGGAAACCTCGTGCTTTGGTGGCCCAAAGTCGACTTTTCGTGACAGGTGCAAGGGGTCGGACCGGTTTCACTTCGAAATGCAGATCGTGGCTGGCGCAGCACTTTGGACATGTGGTGATCTTCGAGGCATTCTGATTGCGTGAGAGTTGCAGTGAGTCGTGACTTTTGGACATGTGGCTAGTTTGCAGATTTCGTGGCAGGCGCAGTGCTTTGTGGACCTTGAAGCGCAGATTTCGTGGCAGGCACAACACTTTGTGAACCTCGCAGTGCAGATTTTGTGGCAGGCGCAGCACTTTGTGAACCTCGAGGCGCAGATATCGTGATTTCGTGGCAAGCGCAGCACTTTGTGAACCTCGAAGTACAGATTTCGTGGGTGGGCCTTGAAGTGCAGATTTCGTAGCAGGGGCAGCAATTTGTGAACTGGAAGCAGGCGCAGCACTTTGAAAAACCTCAGAGCGCAGATTTCGTGGCAGGCGCAGCCCTTTGTGAACCTCAAAGCGCAGATTTCTTGACAGGCGCAGCACCTTGTGAACCTCGAAGCGCAGATCCCGTGGCAAGCGCAGCGCTTTGTGAACTACGCTGACGAAGGTCTTCGACCAGCATCGGCGGGAGCGCCGTGGCACATAAGGCCTGGCTCGCTGCTGCGATTGCGTCACCAATTCGCCCGCTTTTGTTGTTTCTTGGCAGGACGGCTTGCCCCGATGGAAAGGGGGAGGGTGCGGATGGTGGCGGCGGGGGTGGGGCGGTTGAGGAGCACCCCGAAGAAGAGCCGCCCGAAGATGACCCCGAGGTCGACCCCGACGATCCCTAGTAAGTTATTGTTGTTGTTTTTTCGGCGGGGGATCGCCCGTGGCTTGCGCCGGTTTGATCAATGCACCCAGAAGCGGCGGCGCAAGCCAAAGCTGCTCTTCCCCAGCGCGGCGGTTGGAGTGGGCGGCGGACACGCCGATGCCCGACGCCAGGGATGAGCAACCGCCTGCAACAGCAGAGCCCTGACTGCAGCAGACGAGGACTTGGAAGGCGCCTTGCAGGACAGGGTCAAGCTTTTTGTTCTTGCACGTTTGTTGCGCTTGCGGCTCGATGGGCCCCCTATTTTTTGGTTGATGTGAGACGCCAACGTGGGTGGCAGCCCACGCGTGTGGCATACGACGCTCCCCAAAAATGGCCGGCCATCCTCGTCTTGCGGATGGGCCGGGCCTTGCTGGCAAAGGCGGGCGTCCTGAAGAAGGCCAGGTCGGGTTCAGCGTGACAAAATCATTTTGCCATGTCATTTTGTAGCTGTAATTAGAGATGATATTACGAGGGTTGTGAAAAATTGTTGATTCACGATAGTCTGCCATGGGCTTGTTTCGTGAAAACGTTTTCGTGGCTCTCCCGTGGTCTCAAACCCAAAGCGAGCGATGCCGCTCGAGCCCGCCTCCAGCTGTTTGGCGGCGTGCGTCTGCGCGCGCCATTCAACCGGATGTTGCAGGAGCGTCGGTCAATAGAATTGTCAGATTTCAGTTTTCTTGCTTGTGTGGCCGGCAGTGGCTTTGCCAAGGAAAACTTGTTTGAAGTGAGGTGAGTCTGGAAATTTCGGCTTTAAATCAGTTTTGCATTGGGGGTGCCAGGGGGGATTGATTAACAAGGAGAGGTTACTTGGTCCCAGGTAGACCTTACCTCACAACTCTGCGATTTGTCAGCAAAGTTGTCGATGATTTGGCGCCCAGTTCTCAGCTCGAACTTTACCATGGTAATCGCCCACGTGACAATTGCCAGCTGGCTGTTCTGTAAGTAGGCCTGTAAACAAAAAAGGCTATTATGGATCAAACCTGACGGACATTTTCCGCCA